AAGGTATTTAATTTTGTAGGATACAAATCTAACTTTCTTTAAAATATAATTGACATTGATGTCCCATCGTAAGTGAGGATCCAAGACCACTCCAAGGTATTTTATGTTGGGCACTCTATTAATTTGCATTTTTTGATCATTAATATGGAAGGAGAAATTTGTGTAATTTGGCAGTTGTCTAGCATAAGATCCAAATGGTAAAAAATGTGTTTTAGAGTAGTTAATGCTTAATTTTCTACTGTTAAACCACCGAATAATTTTGATAAAATCATTTTCATTTACATTTTTCAGATCAGACCAGTCAGTACCTTCATATAATATTGCAGTATCATCTGCAAAACTAGTTATTTTGCCAACACAATTAATTTGGAGAATATCATTTAAATATATATTGAATAACAGCGGACCTAAGACAGTTCCTTGTGGGACACCACACTTAATATACATTTCTTTACTAAATGGTCCTGATATCTGCACAGATTGTGGGCGATTTGACAAATAACTTTCGATCAGTGAGTACGCGTTTCCTCTGAAACCAATTCTCTCCAATGCTTCTAATAATAATTTGTGATTAACTGTGTCGAAAGCTTTCTTTAAATCAACAAAAATGCAGATTGAAGGGATTCTGTTATCAATATTTTGATATATTTTATTTACAATTTTAGTTATTGCGTCCGATGTAGCCTTCCCTTCTGTAAATCCATATTGATTTTCACTTAAAATTTTGAATTTTGTGAGGTATCGAATCATTCTAGTAGATAAAACTTTTTCAAAAACCTTTGCTACACTGGATATTATTGATATTGGTCTATAGTTGTTAATATCTGTTTTTGTTCCTGATTTATGTATCGGTATTATATTACCTTTTTTTAAAATTGAGGGATATATGCCAGATTCAAAGCATTTGTTGATTAGGTAAGTGAGTGGTTCTGTTATGTCCTCGGCTATAATTTTCAAATGCTCGCTTTTAATACCATCGAACCCAGGACTTTTCCGATTTTTTAAGGGCATAACAGTGGTGTATACTTCACATTGTTCGACTTTATCCAAAATAAATGAGTTCAAAGTTCTTTTTGGAGGCTGAGTATTTTGTACATTTGCTTGTATATTACTTGCTAAATTTCCGCCTATGTCAGTAAAGAATTGTACAAATTCATCGCATATCTGTTGAGTATTTTTTAATACTGTTCCCGATGTTGTATTTAACTCAGTGACACACTCTTTAAATTTTGTTTTCCCAGTAATCTCATCAATAGTTGTCCAAAGCCGCTTAGGATCATTCAAGTTATTATTCAATTTATTTAGGTAATGTTTTCGTTTGGTTTGCCTTGCAAGCTCTATAAATTTATTTTTATATTGGTTGTAACAGTCGGTATTCTCTGTAGTTGGCGTTAGTTTCATTACATTATATAGTCTTTCTTTTTCTATTGCCGATGTTATTAATCCTTTGGTAATCCAGGCATTTCTGCTTTTCTCTTTGTGACTAATTATTACTTTATTGGTACTAATATCTATTAGTTTTTTTATTTTCTCTATGAACAGTCCCGTTGCTTTGTCTATATTATTTATAGAGTATAATTGTTCCCAGGATTCTTGTTTGACATTTGATATTAGTTTTGAATTGTCGACAAAAAATTTGTAATTTTCCTGGTTGTTATTAACGGTAGGAATGTTAGAATGTTTTTCATTTGAAGATATCAGTAAAATAGTGGAGAAGTGGTCAGTAATATCGCTTTCTAGGATTATTGGTATACAAGTAATTTTGTTGGATAGGTCTTTCACAAAGCAGTGATCTATACATGTGCCACTGATGGACCTTGTAGGTAGGTTTATATAGGACAGAAATCCGTTACTTGATAGGATATTCAAGTATTCATTTGTGATGGGATCATTGTCCAAAATATTTATATTGACATCTCACAAGAAAATATGTTGCTTTAAATGAACTTTATTTTGATTTTGAAAAAAAAATTAGATATTCTTCAAAAACTCGTGGGGTTCTGAACATAGCGGACGATAAATTGCAGATACCTCAATTTTGTTATGCTTTATAGGTTGCATACTTTTTAATACAATGATATTTTTCAAGCAACTATCGCCATCTCTAGGTCATGCCGGGTACTTCTGGGACCACCCTCGTAGTTGTCCATTCATTGATATGTATTGTTACATTATTATCGTCTTTATTCCTTTATATTACATTTTTTTTCTACATACAAATTTGTATCTAGTGGATATGAATAAAGAAAGAATAAAAAAGAAAGCTGGATGCCAGAGAACGTTATATGTATTGATATTGGGGACTAGAAAACATCACTGAACAAATCATTCATCATTTCTCTACTTGTGTAACACGTTGCTTCGTCAAGCCGAAATGAAGTTTCTTAGAGGTGAAGTTGTTGAATTTTAGGAGACACGTCTGGTGTATGGCTTCAATAATCCTAGACATTATGCACGCTAGGCTTGAATTATCCAGTTCGCGAACTTACCCGAGACCTGATAATTTTTCCTGCTATAGGCATTACCCGGAACTGGATGCAATTATTCAGTGTCATCTGAAACTTTATTACGTACTGACACGCAGAAGGCCGCGGAAATTGTAGCAAGTTGCATGCCCCTCACTTGTTTTCCCCCAGGCTCATGATTTATCCAAAGCCAGACGAGACTAACAGTCCAGAGGATTAGGAAGTTTTTGTCTCATTATTTATTCATCCATCAGTATATTTTAATAATGAGTAAGGTGCTTTTTATCGATATAGTCGATTGATTGTTTGAGTACACTCAGTATTGGCGGGCCATGTAGTAAATAAGTATGATTGATTTGTTATTTTTTTAATAAACTCAGGATGTATAACTTCAATTCGTATCAATTCGTATTTAAGAAACAGAAAACAGTTAGTAAACATCGGAAATAAAAGATGAAAAACATATTAAACACGGTATACCCAGAGCTCAGTTCTTGGGCCAGATTTTATTTCTGATATATATCAATGAACTGCCGAACCACAAAGATGTTAGATCAGAGAACATTTCTGAGCACCTTGGGTATGATCGCACAGCCGACTGCCAAAAACTGGTTTGATGCAAATAAGCTGACCCTGAATGTTAAAACAAGACATTTAATATGATATACACGTGCTCAATTGGGGATAAGTCGGGAGATCTTGGTGGCCATGGTAACATCATTATGTTGAAAGAAGTCTACCTCTAATGAAGGTTACAGGTGACCTGGAACCATAAGCTATAGCACCCCAAACCATAACTCCAACAGTGTCATGAACATGTCTTTCAACAAAAAACTGTGGATTCCTCCTTTCACCACGTCGCCTTCTAACTCTGGCACGACCATCGTGCATGCCTAAACAAAATCGAGACTCGTCACTAAAGACAATACTGTTCCATTCCTGATCCCAGAGTGATCGTTGTCTGCACCACTCAAGGCGATTACGTCGGTGTTCTCGAGTTAAAGGGAGGACCCAGTGTGGCCGGTATGAAAACAAGCCAAAGCTTCTCATTCGTCGGTAAACACTTCGCATGCCAATAGGTCTTCCGTGTTCTGCAAACCATTCATTTGCAATGGACCGGGTAGCCATGCCATGCCTGACAACACCTAACCACAGTGTCTACACTTCTTTGCTCTCTAACTGCAATTGCCCGAAAAGAAAGTCCAGCTTCCTGAAGTCCCACTATACGGCCCCTATCAAACTCACTAAGTTGACGAAATCGTACAGGTCTCCGTTCTCTAGGCATCGTAAAGGATGTCAAGAACCAAAATTTGCCAAAGTTGATTCTTTACTGCGGCTGAAATATTCATTTATAGAGCGTTAGTGAATTAAAAAAAAGCAGTATAAAAACCGGAATGTCCAACTGATAAGGCTGAACATTTTTTCACTTGTTATTTACAGTAAGATAAATACATTCACCAACTTTTATTAAAATAAAACCATTTAAACTGGGTGTTCAGATTTATATGTCACTTAGTATACTTATTGATCATTGAGGCCCAACGAACCTTTATCCCTCAAAAAAGAATAGTCACTCTTATTCTCATAGCATCCTCTACAGTCTTGTGGAAAAACATTTAGAGATGAAAAATACTAACTTTAGCAACATTGCCCACTTAGAAGTCTGCCTTCATGTGCAATCATATCCTTCCAAATTCACTTACCTAAAAGAGTCCCAGTATCTCTAAGGAATAAAAACAACGTTACATTGAACAACTATAGCTTCAGCACATACCGTAATAGCCCTGACTACCTATATGGATCAATATTCAATAGTTTGCCCTCCGAGTTAAAACTACCAACTACTTAGTATTCAAAAACATCCTTTAACATACTTGTACCATATGTCTTTTACTCTCTACAAGAGCTTCATAATTTTTAATAATTACATATTTGTCTATTTTATTGATCATTTTACTTATTATACATTTATGCTGCATACTTTTTATGGCCGATCTCTGTTTTTACGCGGATCGCGACCGCACATGCCGCTTGGCGTCATCTGTTAAGGACCGTGCGAGTAACTCGCGTTCTAGATCGACGCGAAGTGACCTCGACTATTCTGGAATGACGCTATGTGGCTCACCGGAATTTTCTCGAACCAACGATGCGGACTATATAACTCGACAACCGGTAGAGTGAAACAGATTAGAGTAGAGCAGAGTGGAGTATAGTTCAGTACCAATGGCGCGACATAAGAATTAGTCAGACATAGATAAAGGTTAAATAAATTAGTGCATTTCTATTTGTGGAATCCAGTGTTTTAAGTCACACCCTAACGAACCCAGAGAAACGCTACCATATCTTCTATTTAACTATTTATACATCTAAACACACTGTTTGTGCTATTTATTTTTCAACGTATCACTTATTTTATTAGTCATGTACTATATTTTTCTTTTGCTTATGTAAATCTGACCTTTTCCTGTTCACGTTTCGTATCCGCAAAGCAATTTGATTAAGAGTTATTATTATTATGTGTTCTCTTCTTTCCAGATATCTACCGACTGATGCTGAGCGACAAAAAGTACGGCCTCTCCGTGAACCTCATGGCGACGAAAGTGATGCCGTCGCTCCTTCCTCAAACCGTGAACCCTCAACTGAACCTAGAACAGTTCACCATCCTCATAGAGGTGCTGCAGGACATGTTGGACCAAATCGACCGCAACCAGAGGAACAAACTGAAACTGGACAACCTGTCTTTGCCCAGTCCGGAGAGACACAGGCCTTTAAGGCATCAGTACAGCTCGGATAACATGCACGTACCGCCTTTCAACATTCCTAATTTGAGGATCGAGCAAAGGAAGACCAGCAGCGCCGAGGATATGGCCAGGAAGAACTCCACAGGTAGGTGTATGTTTCTATCGTTACTGTTTTCAGGATAGTCACAGATCATACTACATACTAAGCAGTTTCAAGGATTCGGGATGGATACCTGTGTTTAGGGCGGGGTACTCTTTATAGATGGGCTGGTTCCTAAGCAGATTCGCTTCGATGTTGGCAAACTATGCGGTATAGCAGTCTAGCTGCACCGCTCCATTGTCAATCCAAGTTTTAATATCTGGGATCAGCCTTCTAGTCCGTGCACCTTGGCCAGGTGGATCCCATCTCTCCTGCCACAAAAAGCCCCTCTCTTTCGTCGCTTGTAGCTTCAACGCCCTTTTTATAGAGCGCACAATAAATCAATTGGCAGGATACCAGCCACCACCAGCAGTACATAGGTCGACGTCATTCTGTCAGCGCATATCACGCGTAACACTACTTTTCGCTGGCTTCTCAATATTAGCAGCTGTCTATATTTCTTTTTCCTGAAAGCCTTGTTATAAATAGGGGCTTCGTACAGCATAATCGAATTTGCCACCCCACCAAAATCCTACGCCTCTCACCGCTGATGCCTCCGTCGGATGGCGTTAGCCGTGTCAGAGATGCAACGACCTTACTTACCTTGAGCTAATGAAGTTAGCTTCTGTCTGCCAAAAAGTACCTATAACTACTTCCATCTTCTCAGGAATCCTTCAAGTGTATCTCTCTCCTTGCAGAACGATATTGTAGAACGCGTTTCAAAGCAACGACCCTAGCGAGGACCCCTGCGGCACCCCCACGGTTACCTTTATCGTCTTTTGCCCTACCATAAGTTCCCTCTCGTCAAAGTAATGCTAGGGATGTCTAGCTTCTCGACAGGTTCCACGATTTTCTGCCATTGCGCCGTGTTAAAGGCTTTCTTAACGACAAAAGCAACGATAACGCAAATGATGTAGATAGCCCGTTCTTTTCTTCGATGTATTTTTTAGCCTACCTTCTATCAGTCGTTCTAGTAGCTTCCCAAATGAAATCAGCGTACACAGAGGTCTATATCTGACCTCTCTATCAGTGGGTTTTAGAGATTTAAGGATGGGAAGACTCCCGTTCTCAAGAACAGACAGCACGGTTTCGGGTTTCTCTTTAACCAGCGCTTTCACGATCTGATTTGGTATTTCATTCAGTCTTGGTGCCTTACCTGTTTCCAAGTGCGTTGTAGCTTCTTCAATCTCACTCATAGTGAGCCAGAGTACGTCCAGAGATTCCTAAAATTTCCGTTCTGTGAATGAGTACTTCGGTAACTGTCCCTCTGCAATTTTTGTTTGCTCTTGTTGTATCTGCTACCATCAGATGCTAGAGGTATTCTAGTCTGCGAGTGCACCACAGAAAGACTGCAATTTCCATAAAAAACAACCCAGAAATAAAGATGTTTCATCTTAAGAGGAGTAAATACTTCTCGACAATGCTTGTCTATGGGGGACAATGTCTCACGTGTCGACACCTGACTGTAGGAGATATAAGGTTTAAGTGCAAATATACGGGGAAATTACCGGAGCTGGAAGTATATTATTAACATCAAAAGAATAACCCTAGCCCTCTAATTTTTTAACCCTACGCCCAGTGTCGAGCGCGTTTTCTTTTAAGTATGCCCAGAGAAAGAAGTCTGCTCAAATCTGGTGGCCTAGCAAGCGACCCCATATCACCTTTCAAAGAGCCGAGGCGTCCTGGAACATGCATCAAGCCAAATTCATTCAAATTACGTACATTATCACCAATAAACCTTCAGCATGCCAAATTGACCCGTCCAAAAAATAAGTAGGCGAGAACTGTCTGACAAGCATGTTGTATTCAACGCCTCTCCGATGTTTTCTTCCTTCCTAGGTGGCATGCTGGGCGGCTGGTGGTTCGGCAGCGGCGGCAGTCCCTCCTCGCCCGATTCGAACCTCCTCCGCGTCGCGAACGCCTTCCCGAACCGCCGTCTCAGCGACAACACGCTCATGACTCCCAAGATCCGCATCGCGCCGTCGTGCGCGAGCTCGCCGGGAGGCACGCCCGCCAGCGGAGGAGGTGGCGGCCTGCCAATCAGAAGACACTCTTCGATCGGCCCGCAAGAGAGGCGCGGCAGCACGGTCAACTTGTCACCGCCCACGGTGAGTACAGAGGCGGAGCATATTTATTGGAAAGCGTGTTTGGGGTGGAGCGTTTTATTGGACAGTGTGAACAAGGGGAAAACTGCGCATTCGCGATAGAAATTTTACAATTTAATTTTTTATATTCACATTTGTTGGATGACTTTTCACATGAACCAATAATTGTATTTGTTTAAAAAAAACGCCCTGGCATCCTTTTGATCGAAATTAAGGGTTACTATAATAGGTAAATAATTTCTCTTCGAATGTGGGGTTTGCACCTAGTCTATCTGGTTATATGAATGAGATTGTCTATGAAGCGTAGAAAGTGACGTTAAAAATGAGCTTTGCCACAATTTCACGTCTTTTAGCAGCATATTTTATGAGACAATTGAAACGCATAATTGCAGATCTCTTTGCTTCTATTTGTTCGCAATAATGTTCCCAAATATGCAAAGAATCCCTGTCCATTCTTTACCGACCTTTTCGCGTTTCCATCAGGAGAATATATCGCATAACGACGATTGTTTACCTTATAAAAGCAGCTCCCACAAGAAATGGAGCGTTGAAGTATTGAGCCACCCTACTTGACTTTTTTTGCTGCTCCATAAAATCCGCGGTGGTTTTTAAGGCAGGTTAATAAAAATCGTCTATTAGAAGTCGGAACAGGTATGATGATCACGGGAGAAACGAGGACAAAATACTTCCAGGGAACGTTGAAAAAAGTAAAAGCATCCGACGGGGAATCTGCTTAACACATTTTTGCATAAACACGCTAAGGCATAACGGGTTCAATTTTGCTTACGACGAAACAGAAGGCTGTCGATCTCCGAAGATTGAGCAAATCTTGCTTACAGATTGGCGAATCACGATCCGGGAACAAGCGGCTTAAATTCTTGAACTCTCAAAAGCGTAAAATTCCACTGCAACAATGCACATCCTCCTGTCTCACAACAAACGAAGGACTGAATCGAGCGTTTTCCCAGGCACAAATTGGGCCACCCTGTATATCAAAATTATCCCCAAAATTAAGCATCGACATTGATTTATAATCATTACTGGGACCCTTGTCATTCGTTCCAATATTAACAGTTTTTCCGATGTTTAATTCGATATGGCTATCCCAAATAGTTTTGGGACACCCTGTAGAAGCGGAGATCTGCATAAAAAGTGGCTCCCCAGCAACCGACATTTTCATTTTTCACTTTCTACGCTGACGCCCGCTCGAAAGAACGAAAGTGTGAATCGCTGTCTTGCCGTTCCGCTATCCCACTTCTGATGTTGCCCTCATGAAATTATCATGATACGCACTTTGCGATGCCCAAAAAAAGTATACCGCTTTGGATATGAACAGGGATGGATTGAAAGGTGCGACGCAACGAATCTGTAAGCATAGCCGTAAAAGCATTGTTAAAATTTAGTTAAAGACAGTCACTGTATGTTTCATGCGAAAACTAAAGGTGTCATTGCCACACCAATCGCGCAACTAGCTGAATGACAATGACCGCTTTTAAGAAGCCGTACAAAGTTATCCAACACATAGGCGTTCCATAGCCATAGCCTTTCTAACATGCTAGGTCACAACGTTGTCAAATGGATAGGGACTAACTAATTGCGTAGGCTTATTTGACTGACTTGATCCAATCTTTATCTTTGATATACACGTTCCTAGCTAACTTTTTTCTCAGAGGGGGCTGACTTAGGAATTGATAACAACCTATTTTACGCAATTTTTTGTACTTTCAAAAAAAGACGAATCCTACTTTTGAAACAAGCGTCGCGAAATGGACGCGCCTCATGCATTACGCATGTAGTTGAATCACTCTGTATATGATGGGATCATAGTTATTACATATTCAGTTAGGTTTTTATCTTTACCCTCCCTCAGAGATTTCCACCGAATGGAGTTGAAAGCATTTCGAGCAACGTCAAAGGTAAAACATAAGTCTCGTATCTTTTTATGCTCTCGTAAAATTATCATGATACTACGCATTTTGCCAGAAGAGAAAGATTACTCGGTTGGGGAAATGAGATTTCTTATAACGAACCTTCATGGAAAACGGTTACAGGAAAATTACATGTCGAAATATTGAAAATGAGAAAAAATCATTTTATCGCTATACAATGTGATCTTCTTATGTATGGTATGTTACGTTTGCGCCAAAAGGAAATATAAATTAAGCTCGTTGAAATAATATTATAGGTTCAAATGGAGATGCCACTTTAGCGTCTTCTAGCTGACTATACAGGGTGTTCAAAATAAGGATTCTATGCATCGGGATCAATCAATATGTTACACCATACAATACAGGGTGCTTCACAACTTATCCGACAACTTTTAGCCACATTTGCACTGTTACGGAAGAAGCTGATTCCTTAAAAAAAATGTAATAAAAGTCCTACAGAAATTAAGTTATAAACCTGAGTTTCAATAATAAATTGGAAAATAAATATCTGTATTTTGCGTTGATCGTCGTGAGATTAGAACACGCATTAATAATTTATTCGACGAAAACAAAATACCAGCAATTGTTTGTTTTTTCATACTGATAAGAACGTGCAAATCAGGTTTGATCTGTACCGTGGGTGATCTGAATGAGGAACAGTCGATTTTTGTGAAGGTAGACAAGAAAGTATTTTGCGAGTTTATGTTTTTGGTTATTTATTATTGAAAATGGCACATGTGTACACTAATAAGGAGTCAGTGGACATTGTTTTAGCGTACGGAGAAGCAGGGCGAAATTCGCGAGCGGCTTCTCGTTTGTATGCATACCGATTTCCAAGTAGGCACATATCACATCACGAAACATTTAGATCAATTGTTTTACGTGCACGTGCTAGTGCCGACAGCGCGTTTTAAATGCCGAAGACGAAATTTTGGATATTGTCGAAGGAAATGCGGGGATAAGCACAAGGCAGTTAGCCCAACAGGTCCCAGAAATGTCGCATGCAACAGCGTGGCGCATATTACATGAGGCCCAACTGTACCCTTATCGCACCAGGAGAGACCAGGCGGTGCTACCTACAAACTACCCCCTAAGAATGCTCGAAATGCCCGTTTTGCAGCTGATATTTTGGCCACCGATACTGCTATTTTTTTCTCGTGATGGGATAACCAATCTTCGTAATACACACGTTTGGTGCTATGAGAATCCTCACGCAGTGGTCCAGACACATCTCCAACATCCTTTCATCCTCTTTCTTTAAACGAATGGGCAGGTGTTGTCGATGAACGTCTAATTGGACCGTTCATATTGCCAGATCGGATGGATGGTCACCAGTATTTGGAATTTCTTAGGAACGATTTGCCGGTCTTCCTTGAAGATGTGCCGTTTGCGGTCCGCGCACGGATGTGGTTTCTGCACGATGGGGCACCTCCGCATTTTCATTTAGAAGTTCGTGATTTTTTTAATCAGGTATACCAGATATGCTGGATCGGAACGGGTGGACCAATCGCGTGGCCTCTGGACTTCTTGTTACGGGGATACTTGAAAAACGAGATATACCGTACTCCAGTTCAGAATGTTGAAGAATTGCGTGACCGAATCACAGTGACTGCCGATATAAGTAAGTGAACTGTTAAACTGTATTATTTTATTATCTCGATTTTTGTAGGACTTTTATTATATATATACTTCGAAGTTGAGTCATTTATTTTAACAGTGAGTAGATCTGATCAAAAGAAATGTTTTTTTCCTTTACCATTTTTCTGGTAAAATTAAAGTAACAAAGTTATAGCCCTTTAGGAGTTTGAGTACCTCCCTGTCTCAATAATAATATTATGTGCTCGTGTTGGGCAACAACGGATATAATCCGCCTTATCCGTTCATCGCATCGGAAACAAAAAAGCGAAAGAATTTGGAACGATGTTTTTACAATTATTTTATTCAGTTGTATACAGTCAGTGTCAGTCGGTAACGCGTGAGTGAATAGTGGTGTCTGTGGCGTGGCTCAAACGAAATAAAAAATGGCACATGTTTACGAAAATGCTGAACTTGTGCACATGATTTTTATTTACGCGGCATCACGGATTTATGCGGATCGGTTTCTCAATCGAGTGCAACCAACCCCTCGTGCCTTTGTTAATGTAGTACAAAAGGGCTCGTGAATCAGGTGACTTAAGACCTCACAGGTAACATTTTTTTTTATTTTTTATTTTTACACACATATTTTGGTTTATCTTCCTTCTACAATCATTATCTGAAAATTAATGACTCAACTTCAAAGTATATAGTATAAGTTATATACATATATAACAAAAATAGGAAAATAATGGACAAAATCCGCAAAAAGTGGATTCGAGCAGAAAATAGGATAGGTAACCCGAGCGATACGTATTTCTGCTGGTTGGCTTCATCAGGCCCGAAATGAATGCACATATGCAACTACAAAAGTAGAGACGCATGCCCATACATCCGGATACGGGTGTAACCTGAGGAAACACAGTTGGAGAGGAAAAAAGACACACGAAGTCCACAACAAGAGCCAACCTACACATTGTAGTATAAAATGTCTAGAAGACCTCGAATTTTCAAGGCGACAAATAACCACAACCACGCTGCCGGTTATAGCCACTTGCTGTGGTACTTCAAGCCCAAAGGATCTACAAAGAGAAAATTATCATGCGGAGAAAGGCATAAAACAAAAATAAATTCGAGGTCTTCTATCCATTTTATACTACAATGTGTGTAGGTTGGCTCTTGTTGTGGACTTCGTGTGTCTTTTTTTCCTCTCCAACTTTGTTTCCTCAGGTTGCACCCGTGGGCATGTGTCTCTACTTTTGTAGTTGCATATGTGCATTCATTTCGGGCCTGATGAAGCCAACCAGCAGAAATACGTATCGCTCGGGTTACCTATCCTATTTTCTGCTCGAATCCACTTTTTGCGGATTTTGTCCATAGTTTTCCTATTTTTGTTATATACCTTTCTCCATATGATAATTTTCTCTATATACATATATATATATATATATATATATATATATATAGATATTTTAGAAATCAACTTCTTTCGTAACAGTG